TGAGAGCCAAGAGGTTGGTGACGCTGGTGTTGAAGTGGGGGGTCATGGCGTTCTGCTCCGCACCGTAGTCACCAGAGAAGCGTTCTGCGAGGTTCATGAGTGCCCAACAGCACGACGAGGCAATCTTTGCGTTGCTCATGAGACCAGCAAACAGAGAGCGGACGAGAGGGTCCAGGTGGGTGGCCGGATCGATAGCATCAGAGATACTCTCCGTGATACGACCAAGTGCGTACGCCGTCGAGTCCTTGACCTGGGGTGAACTGTCATCCATCATGCTGATCATGATCGGCAATGCCTGCTTGACAATGGGATCCAGAGTCTTCTCGTCCGGACCCTCCATAATAGCGCCGAAGGCAGAGACGGCAGCATCACGGTGGTGCCAGTCCTCGTGCCTCAAGTTGGCCTCGACGAACTGGAGAACAGGCTGGATGATGGCGCCGCCAACGGCTTGAGCGTATAGAGCCAGGCACTGGTAGGCAGCACGGGCAAGGTTGTACTCGTCATCGCCAGCATCCTCGTCCTGCTTGGTCAGAAGCTGTAGCAAGACAGGAACGACCTCGTTGGCAGCGACGCGAGCGAAGTTGTAAAACGGGCGCATTTGGTCGGAGCTCTCAACCTGAAGTCACACAGAAGTCAGCACAAGCCAGGTCAAATGGGTGGGATGAATGGCTGGGCCCGGATACCCACCTGCAGGTTGTCATCTTCAATGGCAGTTTCCTCCTCGCAAACCGTGCTCCAGAACTCGACAGCAAGCTTGGCGACGTCCTCATCCTCGTTCTTCATGCCGAGAATGGTCAGACCAAACAGGGCCTTCTCCATGTAGAAGCGCATGTTATCGTAGTAGAGGGCCATGATACGGTTGAGGCACCCAAAGGCACCCTGCTGAATACGCGTGTCCTCGGCCTGGGTGGCCTCGCAGACAACCTGCATAATGTAATTGCGCTCGCCCTCATGCTTGAAGTTGTTGGCAACAAACTCGAGGGAGTCGCCAAGAGCAGTGATGGCGGCAAGGCGAATCTCAAGGTTGGCCTCCTCCTTGCGGGCACCCTGTACAACTGCCGTCAAGATGGCGTTGGAGTGGCCAATCAAGGCAGTCCTCAGATCGGGGTCCTGGCTCTCGCAGATGTAACCGATCGTAGTCAGAGATGTCTGCTTCTGGTGATCGTTTCCTTCGCTAACGTTCTTGACCAGGATATTCAGCAAATCCTGCCACTGGTTGCGGGGCAGCTCAATGGCAGCAATAGAGGAGATGACCTGGGCGGCAGCCTGACCGGCCTGCGCGTTGGAAGACGCTAGTGTTTGCAGGGTCAGGTTCTTGACCTGTGTTTTGGTCTCTTCGTCGGTGCCCTGCAGCCATTTTGTCTGTAGGTCTTGGTGTCTGGCAAAATCTCTGGCGGTGAAAGCGTTCTTTAGGGCGAGACCAGCGGCTGCTCGGATGGAGCCTTGTGTGTTCTCGTTGGCGAGCTCTTGAACTAGGGTGGCAAGATACAGCGGCTGTCATGTGCAAGATTGTTAGTAGTTGCTCTTCAATCTGAACAGCGGGAGGAAAGCAAGTTTCGAAGGGGGGGTGTGTAGAAGAGGGGGTCATGAGAGGCAGAGAAGCGTGAGGGGAATGACGTACAAAGTTGGTCTCAGCGGCTTGTGTGAGTTGCTGCTCGGCAGCCTGTCGCAAGTTCGCGTCTGCGAGGCAGGAATCAGTGATACTGTCCAGTTGCAGGTGGTGGTGCGGAAGCGGTGGGAAAGGGCAGAGCTGTTGGGAGGATAGACAGCTTTTTCCCAGGGGCCTTTGGGTGGGGGGGACAGCAAGATGAGGAGGCGGAAGGGAAGGGAGCCAACAGAGAGAACATACCGGGAGACAGCGAGTTGCCCAAAACCTGGTTGATTTCGGAGCTCGACATGATGAATGGCGTATCGAACGGGTAGGCTCAGGACCAAAATGAAGTCAAAGTGTCGAAGTGGATGGAAGTCAAGAAGAGGGTTTCGACGAGCCGCACGTGCCAGAGGGATGTGGAAAACGCGGGGGGTTCTGAATGGAAAGTCGCAGTTGCGGCGCACCCAGAAACCAGGGTCCAAACAGTGGGAGAGGGGGGTGTGAATTATTGGTGTGACTCTGACCGCTTCGTAGTTGGGGTAAGGCGGGTGGACTGTGTGTGGTGCAGCGTGCAGTGTGGTGCGGTGTGGTGGGAATGAGGTTCGTGATGGCAAGGGAAAAAAAGGTATCGAGAGGGGGAAGCAGGTCGAAGGTGGACAGTGAAAAGGGGAAAAAAGATGCTGCTGGAGGTTGTTGACGATCACAGGTCTCGTCGCAGTGTGGAGGTCCAGTCGTCCAGTCCAGTCTCCGCCACTTTGTCTTTGGGCGTTCTCAGGGAAGTCACGATCATGCCAGCTGGATGCAGTTGCCAGCGCCTATGCCAGTGCCAGAGGGCTTAGAGGGTAAGGTGCCGAACCCTGGGCCGTGAGCGTGGGTTAGGCGTTAGGCGAGGGGGGGAAGGGGGGGAGGCGTGGCGTGGGTAAGGGCGCGAAATGAGTTGTGGAGAAGGCAGCCAGGCGGGAGTACAGTACTGTCCAGTCACTGTCGCCAGGTTGGATGTCTTGAGTGGGCTATTGTGCTGCCGGCTCCTCTTCGCTGATGTACGATCTTGTTGTTGGCCAGGGGAGTTTTATTTGTTGTTGTATTGTTTTGGTTTTTCCCATCTGGGCGAGGCAGAAGAAGGACGGCCGAAACTGTTGATGTCAAAGGGGAAAATGAAGCAGCGACATGCCTGCTGCCTTTGAAGGTAAAAATTGATTTAGTCGAAAGGGTTGACTGGTTCACCTCACAGGTACCTAAGGTGCCTCACCAAGGTACCCTACCTTGGATAAGTGTAGGCATCTACAAGCACCCTATTGGCAGGGGCGCAAAGGTCTCGAATCCAAAGCAAAGGCGGCTGCCCCTCAGTAACGGCGGCTGCCTTGGAAGGAAGGAAGGAAGGGGGGGCGAGTCATTGTGGGAATAAGGGGTGTGCAAATGGAGTGATTGGCTACCATCAAAATGACCCTTCACACAGGTACCCACCACAAGCCACGAACCGGATGCTTTCAGCAGAGCCAGCGGAGTATGCGCAGTATTGTGCTAAGCCAAGACTTAGAATCCAGGTCAAAGCATTATGACACCCAAAGTATCTACATATCATGCCCTCACGACGGAAGAAAACACCCCTAGGTCCTCTCTTTTGACACCCCTTGCAGCACGCCTAGGTCTATCGGTTCGGAGGAGTCACACAGAGTCCTGGAAGGTAGGGAGATAGGCAGAAGGTGCCTACGTGGTAGGGCCGTGCATTTCTGTCACCGGAGAGACAGACTGCATTTGATCTCACTGAGATTGCATATTGTCGTCAGAGCTTTGGGTCCTGTTTCGGAGTGGTTCCCGTCATTCTGGGCTCCCTGTCGGAGCCCGTTCAGGAATGAACCGTCCTCGCGGCGAGTGCGGGTGTGCTATATTTGTCCATGTCTCGCGCGCCGCAGATGCCAGGCGACATGCAGATTGCATCGGCACTGAGCATTAGCAACCAGCACTATTGCGGGTGGCCAGCTTGGCTGAGTCGAAGTTCATCGTCATAGTGGATGCATCGGACGCAACGCTACTGGCTTCGCATATTTGCGTGTGTGCGTGCTTCTGCTCCAAGAGGATCACTCATCGCAAGGCTAGCAAACAGCCGGTTTGTAGAGCAGACGGTGATCTCACGTCGTCGGCATGTTGGAGACAGCCTCCCTGTACCCAACCACTGTATGGCATGGCAAAGCATGAATATGACCTAAGATATTTCAAATGACTTGATTGAGGCCGATTGACACTGCGCATAGGTCCTGTGAAGCTCCTCCTGGTCCTCACACATCTTCTTCGCGGCATTTCTTGATGACCGCCTATCGGCCGACACAGACATCTCCTGAGTCTGCCCAGCTCTCTTTGTCTCCTTCTTCTGTATCGCTCTATCCAGACGAGACACCGCCAAAAAAAAAATTACTCCAAACAAGATAGACCAACAATTGGTCACTAAAAGGGGAAAAGGAGGAAGTGAAGAAGATTAGATATACAGAAAGAAAAATGACGTGGCAGCTCAGTGCTGATGAGCAAGAAGCAAGACGCACAAAAAAAAGCAAGATAAAGAAAGCAGTTCGTCCCATGTATCACTGGGCGTGTCTTTGACGCCTTCCACCTACACTCCTCGCTTTCTTTCCCGGTTTGACTATGTTCAAGGTATCGGCCGTATGTACGGAGAGCTTTCTCTCCAAAGACGTGAAAAACAACTTCGCTTAGTATGCTCGCGCAAGGGGCAGAAGATATGCTTTACCACGTAAAGCTCTCCTCCACAAAGTCGACCACCGTGTCTTCGTCCTGGACCTGCCGTACAGCATGTCGGACGTCATCGGCAAGTGCGCCAGGTCCACAAACCGTCACACACATCGCGCCTTTCTGTTCCTCGACCTCCTTGCGCAGGAGCGTCGCGACGCTTTGGTCGGCCGGGGAACATCTGAACAGTTGAGCTTGCGGAAACGATCTCGCGCGGGTTCTTGGGTCGTGTCACAAACAGCTGGATGCGCAGAATGTCGCGACGGCCGGGCATGCGCAGAACCGTGTCCATCCAAGGGCGCACCCACTCGAGCGCTTCATAGTCGCGCACAATCCAAACAAGTGTGATGCGCCTTGTCGGCCACAGTGCCAGCGTTGTAACCTTCGATGAGAG